TATATTTTGAGGGAAAATACCTCACGTGGCTTCTAGAACTGCCAGAAATGTGGCAGCTCGGGATGTACAGTGAATTGAAAAAGTCAGATGCATGCTTTGTACACACAACCTCTGCTTGATAGCACAGCGGCAAGTATTTACAAGTCAACAACCTACTTTGCGAAGGCCTCCAATTGCCCGTTTTCCCCCCCTCCAGCCATCCGTGGGTTTTCGCCGCAACACAAGATCCGCAGCTTTGAAGAAGCCAGGGGTCTGGATCGCGTCAATGAGCGTATGCCGCCACGCAAGGATTCAAAGCATCCTGACGGTCCAGTGAATTTAACCTCAACAAACTCTGCGGACAAGAATGGAACAGGGAAGAAAGCCCAGTAACAGTTCCATATCACTAAAGCATCCAAAACTTAATGAATTCTATTTATTTATTATGAAGGGGTTAGGGGCGGGGGGTGGGTGGGTGGGAAAAACCAACTTAGCCTGGAGGCACATCCATAATCCAGTTTGCATCCATTCTGTAAGAGAGGTGACCATTTTGTAAGTTTTTTAAATTTTATGTTCAATATATAAAGTCATCTTTTTTTTTTAATTTAGAATGGGTCTAAAAACTAGTACATATATAAAGTGTTCTGTACAGATAGATATCCCTGCTGAGAGGAAAAGGATCCTGTGTTGGTGGGGGGTGGGGGTGGGGTGGGGGAAGGGAAGCCAAAGCAGCCTAGTTCAAGTACCGTATCTGATTTATTGGAACCATTTTAAATTAGCATTTTGTTTTTTTAAAAAAAGTGGCATCTTCCATTTGAACACATTTTCCTTCCCACATTTGCTCTTCTTTTCTTTTCTTTTTTTTAAATCTTCAGTTTCTCACCATATCTGATGGTCCAGCACTTGACTTTTGTTAAAGGCATGCTTGCTTAGGGCAATTGGTAAACTTCTTCCTTTGTGGAACCCTGTGCCAGAGGTCAATTCAGAGGTAAATAGAGAAAACCAGCACAGGACAAGTTGCTAGATATCTATAGTGGAAATCTCCCTTTTCCAGGTCTAGGACAGCTCGCCACGGTCATCTTGCAGCGGCCAATTCGCCACAGCCAAGTCACCATGGCCATCCAGCCCCAGGACAATTCATCAGTGCAACTTAATTATTTAAAATGGTTTTAAAAAAAGATTTTAATTTTTGCCATTCACATTTCGTTTGTCTCTCCTTCGGCATCCTGTCTTTGATGATTCTGTTCAACCGTTTCTTCGATATTAAGTGTAACTCTTCTCCCATGGCTGGTTGTCAGGCTGAATTGTCCCATGGCCAGTTGGCCGCAGTGAGTTGGCTGTGGTGAGTTATCCTATTCCCCCCCCCTTTCCTCCCCCATCTCAAATGTACCCATCGCTTTTCTTTCAGAAATCCCAACTTCAGTAGAGAAAAAATCTCTTGGAATAAACCGTTAGGTCGGTTTTGATGATTGTGATTCAGGGATTTCCATTCATCCAAAAACATCATTCTTGGGAGCTAATCCAGCTGGCTGCGGCTATTTCCTATGAGTTTAACCCTGTTTGACTTGCATCAGCATTACACCTAAGGGATTTATATGGTTCGTCTGAACCACAAACAGCCTCACAAGATTGTTTAGCAGTCACAATCTTAATGTAAATGGAGAAGGACTACTCTGCCCTTCTTACCACATCCAACACATCCCCATAAGCTGTGCTACCGTGTCTCCATGATAAGAGCCCCAGCACAAGATATATCTGCCTTGTATACATGAGGGCCTCCTGCGTTCAGATCCAACATGAATGAATGCTGTGACATCTAGGGAGAATAATTTATATAGAATTCTGAATACACAACCGAGCATTTCTCCTCTTGTCCAGATGTACCAAGTATATGCCTGTTCATTGTAGACAGGTGGATATTCCAGCTGCCCGTGCAGGGATACTGGTTGAGGAGTCATCTTTGGGCTGAAGGAGCAGAAAGAAGCCAGAAATTCCACTCTTTTTTTTCTGTATGTAACTGACAGAATGCGCTCTGCTTGAATCTAAAAAGCTTCTCAGTAATGCCAAGGGTGAAAGTATGATTCTCCAGCCCCTGTAACTAGAAAAATGATCATTGATGTGAAATCAGAATTTGCACAACATACGTAGGCTGAATATTAATATCCTCAATCAACATTACCCCATAAAATTGCTACCTTGTCTGTTCAATAGTTCATCTTTTTCAAATTGGACTTTGAAAGTGAGGCCTCTGGAAACAACACTGCTTCCTTTTTATTCCTCTAATGAGGGCTACCCCAGTTATGAAAAAGATGTTTGTAGGCAAGCTGTTCTACTCACTCCACTGTACACAGCTAGGTAGGTCTATACCAGTGGTGGGATTCAGCCGGTTCGCACCACTTTGGCAGAACCAGTAGCTATATTTGTTGCCCAGGCCCAGAATGGACTTCTGGAAGCGGCATCCACACAGAGAACCGGTTGTTCGCATATTTGAATCCCACCACTGGTCTATACCCTAGAATCCTTTTACGGGTTCATATCTCTGAGGCACATCTGTATTTTGGGATGTCTTGCTGCAGGAAACGCATGGCTATGGCAAATGCAGTTACGGATAAATTGTGCATTGGCTCTGGGTTTCTGGAGTTTGCTTTCCTCAAAACAGTACCTATTTCACATTTCTCCAACTGTATTTACTTAAGGGGATATCTCAACTCTTGTAAAGAGCTCCAAAGCTCCAACAAGCACAGGGAAAAAAAATCCTTTCCTTTTGCCCTTAAAGGATCTACGGATGGTAGTGAAGGCCTGCTTATCTTACGAGGGAAGAAATATGATTTCCCCCCACAATGGGTGGTGCTGGCAAGGGAGAAAAACCTGAGGGATGAAAATACTTTTAAGAACACCTAGTTAAAGACATTGATAAGAAAAACACTTCGCTGGAAAAGCAGAGCGAACCTTTTAGTTTCCAGACAGAATCGGAAGCTTTGTGTTGCAATGTGCCAAAGAGCAACAACTAAACCATTGATGTCGTTATTTTGGAAACGGGATCCTTTGTTGAGTATATTCTTAGCTTGGTCTATTGTAGAAACCAAGCTTTGGTAGTGGCTTCTTTTGTACAAAAAAACCTTGCAACTTTGATTGTTCATTGAGAAAAGAAGAAAAGAAAGAAAATAAAGAGGGGGGGGGAGCATTGACCGCACCCAGTTAATTACCTCTTTCCCTTTCTTGGCTCTGTTTGCGATATGTTTTTGAGTCAATGTTCCTCAGGCAACTCTTCTTAATATTAGTGGCTTAAACAAACAGTACAATCGGCCACCGTAGGTCTATCCTTATATATATATATATATATATATATATATATATATATATATATATATATATATATATATATAGAAATAAAAACAAAAATGCGACTCTTGAATATTCATATTGTCCAAATAATAACGATCACCAAGAGAATATCTATAAAAATAGAAATTTAATCCACCAAGCTTTCGTCAAATACACTTGACATCGTCAGGGTTAAAAGGCAAACTACGGGGGGAGTCTTATATACAGTTGTTTAATGCCTGTTTCCGGCTCCTGGAGCGCGTCATAGGCCCCAGCTGATCGGGCTGAGTCCTAAGCATACGCCCCACGTCAGCATCTATCTCCGTTCCATGGTTAGTTTGAGTTCGATCATATGTTGCTTCGTTAGTTGTTAACGGGTTGGAAGCCCAAGTCCTTTTTCCTTCCCTATTCGTAACCCCTCCACCATCCCAGACATCACTTCCCTTTGTGAGCGGGGGTAGGCAATTATCCACACTGCCTTCAATATCACTACATGCCCCAAGGCTGCTTTGATCCTGTTTTCCTATCTCCCGGGATTGTAACACAAGCTCATAGTCCCCCCCCATGCTATTCCTCCTCCCCTCCTTTTTCCCGTAGGTTCTCCTGAGCGGTCTGCTGTTCGTTTCCACGCTCTCTCTCTTGCGCGCAGTCGCGATGTTTCTTGCCGTTGTTCCGTTATCAGTGCTTCGTTGTTCCGTCCATTGTTGGAGAGCACTACTGCCGTTCATCCCCAATTCTCCGTTCCCACTCCGTATAGTGCTCCTCCCCTTTAACTGCAATCGCTGTTTTGTCTCGCAACTTGGTGTTGGGAGTATCCGAGGGGGATGCATTCTTCTACTCGACTGTGACCGGGTTGTCATGAACAACCCGGTCACAGTCGAGTAGAAGAATGCATCCCCCTCGGATACTCCCAACACCAAGTTGCGAGACAAAACAGCGATTGCAGTTAAAGGGGAGGAGCACTATACGGAGTGGGAACGGAGAATTGGGGATGAACGGCAGTAGTGCTCTCCAACAATGGACGGAACAACGAAGCACTGATAACGGAACAACGGCAAGAAACATCGCGACTGCACGCAAGAGAGAGAGCGTGGAAACGAACAGCAGACCGCTCAGGAGAACCTACGGGAAAAAGGAGGGGAGGAGGAATAGCATGGGGGGGGACTATGAGCTTGTGTTACAATCCCGGGAGATAGGAAAACAGGATCAAAGCAGCCTTGGGGCATGTAGTGATATTGAAGGCAGTGTGGATAATTGCCTACCCCCGCTCACAAAGGGAAGTGATGTCTGGGATGGTGGAGGGGTTACGAATAGGGAAGGAAAAAGGACTTGGGCTTCCAACCCGTTAACAACTAACGAAGCAACATATGATCGAACTCAAACTAACCATGGAACGGAGATAGATGCTGACGTGGGGCGTATGCTTAGGACTCAGCCCGATCAGCTGGGGCCTATGACGCGCTCCAGGAGCCGGAAACAGGCATTAAACAACTATATAAGACTCCCCCGTAGTTTGCCTTTTAACCCTGACGATGTCAAGTGTATTTGACGAAAGCTTGGTGGATTAAATTTCTATTTTTATAGATATTCTCTTGGTGATCGTTATTATTTGGACAATATATATATATATATATATATATATATATATATATATATATATATATATATATATATATATATATATATATATATATATATATATATATATATATATACCTCTTATTTGCTCTGTGATAGACTCCTCACTCCAGGTTACAGCCATAGGCGTTGCCCATTTCTTAAACCTTCCTCTTGAGAATCAAGAAATTAGTGTTTCTCTGCATTTTAGAATCGATGCAGTGGAGGGTGTTCGTACTTTTATCACTGTCCTTTTTCCATCAACATCCACCTAAATAGTGTCACTGATCCTCTTGAAGATGGAGAACTACACTTTCACTTAAGCAGGCCTCTTACAGCTTTTGTTTAGGTTGACCAGGGCATCTCATTTTTATAGAATTCCTTCCTTCGTAAACTAGATTACCCTTTACTGTCGGTAGGATATGATATAGCCTTGGTAGGAATACTTACCTGAAAGGTACAGATTTTTTGCAAGTCACTCAGAAAGGGCTTCATTTAATTGCATAAATCTTGAGTGACTTGGTTTAGTCTCTGCCATGTCATCCATTGTGTGTTTCCATCCAGCTTTTTTTTTTTTTTCCAGAATTGGATAAGTTTCAAATGATGAGCCTTCTATGGATGGGGGCATTATTCATTTGCTAATTTCAGCCATATGGATGAAAATGTTCATACATCCAAGGAATCGGTGTCAAAGGTACCATTTAGACCAGGGGTAGGCAACCTTGGCTCTTTTATGACTCGTGGACTTCAACTCCTAGAATTCCTGAGCCATCCACAGCTGGCTCAGGAATTCTGGGAGTTGAAGTCCACGAGTCATAAAAGAGCCCAGGTTGCCTACCCCTGAACCACATACATTTGGATCTTCTCATGCAACAGTAATAATGTTTATAAAATAAAGCTGGTCTTTAAAAAAAAAAAACCTTAGTGTCTGAAATGTAGTGCCAATTTTGTTCTCTCACCTTTGAGAGATGATAATTCTTGGCAGCAGTGTCTGTGCCCTTTTTTTGCCTACTGGAAATCATTGTAATATGGATTTAGGAAATGGTAAAAAAACATTTCAGTCCTAAATTTCTGTACTTTTGAGTAGCTAAATACTGCTCTACTTCTCTCTCCTCCCCCCCCCCCAGGCTTCCTTTCCTTCCTCCGTGTGAGTAACATTATGAAAGTTAAAGCTAATAAAGCTGCTGTATTTTGCCCAATTGGTTTAAGGTACTGCATCGACTGACTCGCCTTCCCCCAGTTCTGTTAAGAAAGAAAAACCTTGGAGTCTACTAGGATGGCTATTCAGGAGAGGGGTAGATTTGAGCAGGGGGCCTTAATTTTCACCAGCTAGAGCTATTATTATTCTCCTTTCACCTCCAAGATACTGGTGAAAGAGAGACTGCTTTAGAACTCCTTGAAATTCGGCATAGTGTTTGGGGGGGGGGTGACAGTGTGGCAAAACAGTATGATTTGGGGTGAAAGGATTTGGTTTTCTAGTTCAGAGGTGGGGAACCGTGGCCCTTTATGGCTCGTAGACTTCAAGTGAGCATGGCTGGCTCAGGAATTCTGGGAGTTGAAGTCGTTCCCCAGCCCTGCTCTTCGTTAGACAACTTACATGTGGTTGCTTGCTCCCTGTTGGCTTTGTCTTTTTTCCATTAACCGGGTTAAATTCCTAATACTGCTGTGAGAACAAGGACGCAAGGATGTGTGCAGCAAGAGACAAGCCCTGGACAGTGGTAACCTTCCCTTTGTTTCCCCTGCTTCTCCCACCATTTTAGCAAGTGGTCAGAAAGGCAGTATTGAAACCGGTTCCCAGTAGTCAGGGCTCAGTTCTCAAGACTTTCCTTGCCCTGCTTTTCCCTAGCGCTTTCCTGTAAAAGAGGGGGCCACCTGCAGCGGTCTTTTCCTGGCATGGCATGTTGCTGGACCAACAGCTTCTTATGTTTTAGGGCAATTAGATACTTCCTGATCTCTTGACCCAAATTTTGACGTGGGCAAAGGTTAAAGCCAGCTCGTCTCAAACTCTGGAAGGGGGCATGTATTGCTTACCTGCAGATTTGGTTATGAGGGCGAAAGGGAGGGGGGGGACCTGGTTGGCTTCTGTTTCTGGATGAAGAGTGGAAGGCCCTTGGAGAGATTTCTGATCAAAAAGTGGTAACTTAAACCTGGGTTACATGCCAGCTTAGCACGTGGCTCTTCTCTACTTTAGCAATGAAATGTGAAACGTTTTCTTTAGAAGATTGTTGGGTTGGGATCCTTTCCTATCACACAGTTTTATTTCCCAACACAAATAGATGACTAATGGAGAATCGCACTTGGGCTGCCTGCCCAATCCCACTTTCTGGAAGAAGAAAAAAAAAAGAGTCATTAATTTATCTTGGATCTGTGAAAAAAAACCTCTGTTTCTTTCTCCACCCGTTCTTCTCTAATCTCTGTCGCACACACGCGCAGGTGTGTGTATGTGTGTATTTTTTTTTCTCTAATTCCAGGGACAATCTTGACCTTCGTCTTGAGCCACAAAGCAGCAAAATCAATTTTGAAATGGTGAGAAGCTAAGAAACAGCCCTCCAGCCCAGAGGGTTCAAGTGAATCAGAGGCTGTGCGCACTGCCCCCCCCTTACCCGCGAGGCTGCCTAGCAGCAGCCCTTTTTTTAATTATTTTTATTTTTTATCTTGCATGATAAAAAAGCAAGGTGCATGTACTAAGGAGGGGAGTCCACAATGGGTCTTCCAAACTTCAGGAACAAAGGTGCTTTCACCTCCTACAAGAGATCTTGGTTCTGCTGTGGGGTGGCAGCCTACTCACCTCTCCCCGATTTAGCTAATCCATTGCTTCACGGAGCACCTTGCCGGTTTTTCTCATCCCAAACAATCACAAATCCTGGGAATGTGTGGCAAGGACTGGGGTTCCTGGTTCTGAAGTGATGTTTGCCCATTGCCTGGAGACTGCCTCCTTTCTTGCTCTCTTTTTAGCTATGTTTAAAAAAGAATGGTGACAAATGTTATTTATTGGCGGAAATTATTTAATATAATTTCTTTTTTTGTGAAAAAGGAATGACTTTGTTAGAGCTGTCTTAATGTAAATTGGAAAGTCATCTTTAAGAGAAAAAAAAAAACCTTAAAAATTAAATGACAGTTGTTTGGCTCCGGTGTCATTTTTCAGACTGCTTGAGCAAATAGCTCAGAGTTAATTAAGACTCCTTGTTTTCCTGCCTTTTCCAGGTCAACGGGAAAAAGCCTTAATATCTCTCGCCTGTTTGTTTGGAAGTCAAGTGATTAAAAGAAAAAAAAAGCAGTGATGCAGCTCAAAAATAAGTGGTTGCTACCGGTAAAATAGCCAAGTGCTACATTCAGTCAACTGTTGTGCAACTATTTTTTTATGATTATTATTTCAGTTGGGAAGACTTGCTGAATAGCACTGGATATTGAAAGTGAGGTTAGGCTTGTTTTGCAGGGAGAATGCTTTGAAAGAATTTGTGACGGCAGAATTTGAACCTTGGTCTAAGAAAGGGGGCTAGTCGTGGTTGAGAAGTAAAGATAATGCAGCACGAATCACAATTTTTCTACCTCACCCCCACATAATTTCTTCATCGTTCTTTAGAAGAACTTCATCTAAGTCAGTGGTTCTCAACCTTTTTAATGCCGCGACCCCCAACCGGTCGTAAGTCGAGGACTACTCAACCGGTCGTAAGTCGAGGACTACTCAACTGGTACAGCATCGTTTGCAGAATGGGACTTTTGGCGGGCTCAGCAGGGCAGAGACAGCCTGGACAATTCCTATTGGCTTTTGAAAGCCAATAGAATTAGACTCTGTTCAAGAGAGTCTATTCTATGGGCTTTCAAAAGCCAATAGAATAAAAGGGAGTTGAGTAACACAGCTAAGGAAAAGGGGAGAAAAAATGGCGGACTGTGTTGTTTGGTGACCCCCGTGAAATGGTCGTTCGACCCCAAATGGGGTCCCGACCCACAGGTTGAGAACCACTGATCTAAGTGTTCTTGAAGACTTCTGGGTACACTCCTTAGACATATTCATGCTGGGTAAATTAAGGCCAAATTCCATACATATCCACGAATGTGTCTCTGAACCGACACAGCGGAACGGGACAACTTGCCGAGGCCATCTCTCTGCAGCCTATTCACCTCAGCCATCTTGCCTCAGCCGATCTGGCCTGGCTGTCTTGTCACAGCAAACTCACCACGGGACAGTTCCACAGGGGATCGCCTCAACATGGTGAATATTATCTGCCACCATTTCTTTGACATTCTTTCCATTGGCAAAAAAATGGAAATAATGTAGAAGAAACAGTGGCGGATAAAATCACGTTATCCCACATGGATTGTCCTGCGGCTAGTTGGCCGCAGCAAATTGTTTTCATCCCCCTGCATTATACTTGGGGTCCAAGTGATCGATTGATTGACTGACTGACTGATTGATTATGTAGCATCAAGTTGTCAACTCCAAGCAACCACATACAGATTTCTCCCTGACAATTTTAACGTGGTCTTTCAGGTCTTTCGACGGTGTCCCCATCGCCACCGAAACCGAGCTACTCCACCTTGTTGCTGGTTGTCCTTTCTTCCACCTTTCCCCATGTGACAGGCATCTCTAGGGAGCTAGGTCTTCGCAATAATAGATCCAAAGTGGGATAAATTGAGTGTGGGGCCCCAAGGTAAGTGAAATAAGTGAATATATTACACCTGCCTAGTTTATTGACTTTCTATCTACATCAGTGGTTCTCAACCTTTTTAATGCCGCGACCCCCAACCGGTCGTAAGTCGAGGACTAAACCGGTCGTGAGTCGACTAAACCAGTTGTAAGTCGAGGACTACCCAACCGGTCATAAGTCGAGGACTTTCCCTGCCCGGGAGCACTGCGCATGCGTGGTGCCGCCCCCTGCGCCGGCCGAGGTGTAGCTGGCAAGCGGCAGAGATGGAGCAGGCCGACCACCGGCTGGGCCACCAGCTGGCCCAGCCCAAGGGAGGTAAGGCACCCGCCGGAAAAGGGGGAAAAAATGGCAGATAGCCTTGCTTGGCGACCCCCGTGAAATGGTCGATCGACCCCAAATGGGGTCGCGACCCATAGGTTGAGAACCGCTGATCTGCATTGTAGTGAGAAGATGCAAAGGTAGCTAATGAGAACTTTTTTCAGGAGCAGGCAAAGTTCTTGGAGCTTACACAGCTTTGTTTTATTGTACCAGTAGGGGGAACTGCTGCTTTGTAGATGAAGTCTGATTATAGTTTTAACTTGATCCTGTAAAGCAGCGTTCCCAACCTTTCTGGCACCAGGGACTAGTATCTTGGAAGACAATTTTTCCATGGATGGGGGGGAGGGGATGGTTTCGCACACAAGCTAGATCCTGTGCATGTGCTGATGAAGCTTCACTTGTTCGTCCACTGCTTGCATGGCCTGGTTCCTCTAATAGGCCATGGACCTATACCAGTCTGGGGCCTGGGGGGGGGGGGAGGTTGGGCATCCTTGCTGTAAAGCAACTAGGATGGATTGAGGTTGTTTATTTGCATTGATTATACCTGTCACTGAAATTATTAGGTAGGGTGGGATGAATTGTCCTTGATATTAAGCAGCCTTTTCCAAACTGGCACTCCGTTGTGAGTGGATACTCCAACTTCCAGTATTCCCAGCCATTGTCCCTGGAAGTCAAAGTCCATCTCACCCACAGAGCTGCACCTTCAACGTGGATTATCAAAAAACTGTAAGACAAAAATCCCTGAAGGGCTTTTGCTTGAAAACGTGCATCTTTGTGATAAAACGGAATAGTCTGACCCATGCTAAAAAAAAAAAAAAAATGTGCTTTTATGCAACCTGCGTACAATCAAAACTGTGTTTCTTGTTCCCAATCCAACCAGCAGAAGAAAATGAGGAAAATCCTGCCATAGACAGCCAATAATGGAGTCCTCCAGATGGTGTAGAATGCTAGCTCCTGTGATCGCTTGTAAGCATGGCCAAAGTTAGGGGAAGGGGGAAATTGCAGTCCACAACTTTGCAATGCCACAACTTCCTAGCTTGAAACTTTCCTGCTTCTTTTCAGTTGTTTTCATTGTCTTGGCCTAAGCTGAAGCCCTCTATTTCTTCCCTTGTCTTGCTTTTCCACCCAGTTCAATCATGGTTTGTCATGCATTTTCTGAAACCCTTGCTATCACACATGTACTGAAACAGGATTCAATTACTGCATGTTATAACCACTAGGCTATAACTACTACACCATGCGTATACACTAACTAGGTTTGCATAACCCACCAAACCCTGCATGTGGATTAATCAAAAACAGTTGTGTTCACAGAGCATGTCTTGCTCAGACAAACCATATTATAACTTAATATGTGTCTGGCGTGAAAGGCAGGTTCACACCTGAAGGTTCAACTAAACCTATTTATTGCTAAACTCCTATGCACAGAAATCTTCTTAATTAACTGTCGGCATCTATTTAGATAAGGGTCAACAGCATTCAGGAGGATGGGGCTTAGTCCTCTTGTAGGGATTCTAGGTTGATCCCTTTTCAGTCCCCCCCTCCCAGGTTCTGCCATCCCTTCTCCTACAACAGTGTTTCTCAACCTTGACAATTTTAAGGCATGTGGACTTCAACTCCCAGAATTCCACAGCCAGCAATGCTGGAAGTCCACATGCCTTAAAATTATCAAGGTTGAGAAACACTGTCCTACAATATGGTGGTTGAGATCCAGCAACATATAATATCACAAATTAAACAACTCAATTTTAACCTAGGCTACTTGTGCAAATCTGTCCTATACGTGAATTAAGTATAACACCAGTGACTTCCGAGTTAATGTACAGTAGTGATTAAGGTGATGGATTACGAACAGAGAGACCTGGGTTCAGGTCCACCCTCAGCCACCGAAGCTTGTCAAGAGGATGGTGGGTCATTCCCCGTTTCTCAAGTTTGCTGTAGAGAAAAATGGAATGCTTTGTGTACACTGCTATGAGTGTAAAAAAGCAGATATATAGTATATCCAAATAGGACCACAGTATACCAAGAATGGTGCAACAGTGACCGAGCAATAAGAGAAGTTAGAAACCGCTACTTTTCAGATTTTTTCTATTATTGCAGATATTTCACTGGGCAACTCCTACTTTCTAAGGCTTTCAAAGAAATGTCTAAATTAGAGACTAAATGTCTAATTCATTCTTCAGAGCCAGACCTCTTCTGATGGCACAGATTCTCATCTGTGGGAATCTTAACAACAGCCTTGTAGTAAATGTAAAAATCGACACTCGAGCCCTTTTGCCAGTTACGCAACAAGGTCACTTGTTTTCTTGCCTGTTCAGCAGTTCTTGGCTCAGCCTCGCTCAACTGATGCTGGCTTTGCTTGCAGTTTGTACAAAGGCTAAAGTCCAAGTGAGTCACCTTACAAGTTCTGGGGAAGAAGCAGGAAACAAAAAGTCGTCATACCAGTGAAAGGCGGGGATCTGATTGAACATGAAGGCGTGTTTCAGATGCATCTTGGGATCGCTGCTTACCGAAGCAAATTTGAAAAGCAACTGAAGTGGGTTACCTTCACAGAAAGAGAATTAGGGAGTGGACTCTCTGATCCCCTTTCCCAAATGCTTCTGTGTCGTAGTGTGGGTTCTAATCCCCTTTAACGCTGAAGTTTTATTTTTATTTTGCATTTATTTTTCCCCAAAAAATCAAAACCATGCAGCAAGTGTGGTGACATATTTATGTTTGTTTTAATCTTGAGGGCTACGTTTTCCCTTGGACGCACTTGCTGAGACAACAGATTGTATATCAGGCTACACTAGTTTATAACTGGCTCAGCCTGTCGTTGTGAGATCCTGGCCACTGTCATAGCATAAAACAAACCAATTGCAGTTTTCAAAACAATACTATTGCTGGTCAAGAAGGGAGGTTACTACCCAGATAGAAACCATACTTGGCCTGTGGAGATCCTATTTGCTGCATTTTGCCTAGAAGCAACATCTAGAAGCACACAGTTACCTTTTTTCTTCTTTTTCTAAGATTTTGGAGAAGCAGAGAAGGGAGAAGGTAAAGCCTATCAAAAGAAACAGGAAAGCCTTAACTTGACTACAATTAGTCCCTGATTTAGGACGAGCCCAAAACTTTCTGTTGCTAAGTGAAAAATTTGTTAAGTGAGTTTTGCCCCGTTTTTATGACTTTTCTTGCCACAGTTGTTAAGTGAATCACTGAAGTTAAGTTAGTGACGGGTTGTCAAATGAATCTGGCTTCCCCATTGATTTTGCTTGTCAAAAAAAAAAAAAATCACAAAATACGATCAGATAACCCCAGGACACTGCAACCATCAAGAACGAGTTGTCAAGCATCTGAATGCAAATCCTGTGACCCTGGGGATGATGCAACGGTCGTAAGTGTGAAAATTTTGTCACAAGTCACTTGTAACTTTGGTCACTAAATGAACTGTTGAAAGTCAAGGACTACCTGTACTGGGAAACTCAGATTTGGCAGTTCTAGATCAACTCACAAGCCAATTGAGAAGGTGAACAGGACAACATTTCTCAACGTGATGAGATGCTTTCCGAGCCGTTGGAAGAAGCTTTTGTCCCCATGAAACTTAAAACGCACTGCATAGGTTCAAGAGGAAAGAAAAATGGCCCAAAATACTCAGCACGTACTTAAGGATACTAGAGCTTTTATAGATAAAAGTTGGCTGCAGCCCCATGGCGGAGGTCAATCAGGAAGAACTTGTGCTTAGTCTATACGCCTTCTGAACAAAACAAATATTACCTTGCACAGAGATTTCCTTTGTTCTTCAACCTGCTCTACCCCATTTCCCAACCTGCGGCAGGTCTTTTAGCATAAAGTCCCCGTAGTTTTGTTGACCTAGAATAGATCATAGCCAGGAGGCAGAGACCTTGTTAACTATCGGGGGACAGATCAGTCCTCGTGTTCTTCTGAGTCCCTTTCAATAGCTCACACAAAGGAAACATAATTATCCATCTGGCCTTAGCACACTGTGTTGTCACTTGGTATCCGATGTGTGTCTGTTTATGTGTGTGTATGTAGCTAGGATGACACAAGAGTAAAAGAACTGAGCTCTTAGAACAACTACTTGGCAACCATGAAAACCCTTTCTTCATCAGACTGGGGAATACCCAGTTTCCTTATTTATCAGGGAAAACCGCAATACCCAGAAAATAAAACTTGTTTTAAAAACAGGGAAGCATCCGGCCTTTTTTCAATTTCATTTTGAGCCATTTAACGGTCCTGGAGAATATCCCTCTTGGTGGACATAGTTTTCCTTTTGTTACTCTTTGGTAGAAAATAATTTTGTCTGTATTTTCTTTATATAATTGAACAGAGGTAAACTATAGTGTTTCAATTTTCAATTATTTTTCATTACCTCCTAAAGTTCATCTCTTACACACAAACACAAACACACACACACACACAAACACAAAGAGCGAGAGGAGGGACTGAAGATAAGATGTAGTAATACTATCAATGTATTTTAGGACAGAGGTCCCCAACCTTTTGGTGCACCAGGGACCGGTTCCATGGAGAGAAGTTTTTCCATGGACAGGAGGGTGTGTGGTTTTGTGTGCTGCCTGCATCTCGTGGATGGGACTTTGCTTGTGTGGCCCAGTTGCTGGCGTGCTGCAGCCTGGTACTGGTCCACGGGGGGTTGGGGACCCCAGTTTTAGGACATTAAAGAGTTGACTTACTCTCCAAAGCACCAGAGGGTAGGACAAGATGTAGTGGGTGGAAGCTAGTTAAAGAGATATTCAACCTAGAAGTAAGGAGAATTTTTCTGAAACTAAGAACAATTAATTGATGGAATATGTTGCCTCCTGGAGTTGTGGGTGCGCAATTGCTGGAGGTTTTCTGGACAACTATTTGACAGGGATCGTGTAAAGTCTCCTGCCTTGAGCAGAGAGTTGAACTAGAAGATCTCCAAGATCCCTTCCAGCCTATAACTCTGTTCTGTCCAAAATACGGTTAGGGCATGTCTCTTTCATACCATTTCCAAAAAAAAAAACCCTGCATAGGTTTGATTCAAAGAAGATTCTGCTGCTTTTCATCTTCTCCTTTCCTATAGATTTCAGAGAGGCCGTGTTTATACGGTATGCTAAATCATGGTTTGCACATTATAAAGCTAAGCCCAAACCAAACAGATCTTGGGGGTATTCTCTGAATCTGATCAATACATTAGGACTTCAGGTAGTTTGTCTCTTTTAGTAAGCACAGCATGTCAGTGTGAAATGTGCCTATTGCGGTCCATGCTTTATTTTTGTAATACGTTGTGTGAATGTATTAGGCACTTACAGGATTCATGATTTGGTTAAAGCTGCACAAAGCTCTGGAGCTCTTTTTTAATTTGATCATTGAAAGCACTTATTGTTAGCAGGCATTTCCTGGCAATATTCCCACTTCGGATTTCAGGGGAAAATCCAAAAGCACAATGTATGAGAAAAGAAGGGATTTAACCTCCAGCATAATGTTGATGAGACATCACAAAAAAAGAATGTTGTGAAGGATACTTACCTGGCAAAGAGAACTTGGTGCAGGAAAGTCATTACAGATGGCACCCCTTGTAGCTAATCTGCAGTGTTTTAAGTTATGGAAATGTTAACTCCCTTATCATAAGGAAGCATGAATGAATATTTTTATTAGTCATCGATGAGAATTGCAAACAAACACATTACAAATAAAGTAAAAACAAAACAAGATGAAATACAATAAGTTGTCAACTTAACAACCATAGTTGAGCCCAACATTTCTGTTGCTAAGCGAGACGTGTGTTGAATTTTGTCCCATTTCACAACCTTTCTTGCCAGAGTTAATCACTGCAGTTGTTAAGTTAATAGCACAATTGTTCAGTAAATCTGGCTTCCCCATTGACCATATGAAAGTTGGACCAAAAGAAAGGCTGAGCGCCAAAGAATTGAGGCCTTTGAACTATGGTGCTGGAGAAGACTCCTGCGAGTCCCTTGGACTGCAAGGCGTTCAAATTGGTCAGTCCTAGAGGAGATCAACCCCGACTGCTCTTTAGAAGGCCAGATCCTGAAGTTGAAACTCAAATACTTTGGCCAGCTAACTGAGAAGGAAAGACTCACTGGAGAAGAGCCTAATGCTGGGAAAGATGGAGGGCAATAAAAGAATGGGATGGCTGAGAATGAGGTGGCTGGATGGAGTCATTGAAGCAGGAGGCGTGAACTTAAATGGACTCCAGAAGATGGAGGACAGGAAGACCTGGAAGAACGTTGTCCATGGGGTTGCGATGGGTCAGACATGACTTCTCAATTAACAACAACAACACCGTTAAGTGAATCTGGATTCGCCATTGACTTTACTGGTCAGAAAGTCAGAAAACGTGATCACGTGATCCAGAACCCTGCAACCATCATAGATGCCAGTTACTAAGCAACCGAATTTTGATCACCTGACCATGGGATGCTGCAATGCTCGTGTGAAAAAACATCATGTCAGTTTTTTCAGTGCCATACTAGAATGTATAATATACGGTAGATGAAATCCCCAAAGTTGATGGTACAATCTTTAAAATGTGGCTAGCCATTGTTGAGTTCCCCCCCCCCCGCAATTTTGGCTTTATTTATTGTTAGGAAAGGGTTAAACAGGAGTTTGCCAAGTGAAAACTCACTAATTTTCTTTGTTTTCCATGAAAATCAGCCTGGGGACATTTCACTGGGAAGAATATGCGGATATGGAAACATAACAAAACATAACATTTCCCCCAAATGGCAATTCTCTACAGAGGCTAGAAAAGGAACTTGGATGGAAGGAAAAAGGCTACAGAATAGTCTTTCCTCATCCTTTAATCATTTAAAATTGGTAAAATATGCCTGTAGAAAATCTACACGGGGCTGTGTGCAACACCTGGTTTTACTTTTCAGGCTAGGACAGTGAGCCAAGCTGTCTGCTTCAAAATCACTTCTCAATCACAAATCCACTGATGCGTTCTGACAACTTGCAGGCTCCCTGCTTTGAAGTTGTACCTTAGTTCTGCCACTTTCTGCTATGCCTGTGGGTATCCAGCCGACCTCAGTAACGAAACATTGAAGTTTCTTTGCTTATGGAAGTGTTGTTTGTTAATGCCCAAAGCATTTCATATTATCTCGATCATCTTTGCCATAACTTGTAAAAGCAGGTTGCTGATCTGTAGGCTTCAGCTGTCCAGGAACTCATGATTGAAATCCATTGTTCAGGTCTCAATTCCCTGTTAGCCCTTTAACTGACGGTCCTTGATGCAATGGAAAGCTGTCTTGGTAGTTTATATAACCTTTCCAAGACTTGTGGAGATGAGTCATGTTTAAAGACCATAGGGAAGCATCTCTGAAACTTTGCCAAGAGCAGACTAATACATGGCAGATAGCAATATAGCCTGGACATAGTCTCAGTTCTTCACAGATAATTTAGGTGGGATAGTCTGCTGTCACCCCTTTCCTTTCCTCCTCCCTCTCCCTATTTGAAGGCCAGGGATGAGCTGGAGTGAGAACTGAAGAGAAAGAGTACAAGCCTTGTATATTAGCCCTGGAAAGTCACGCTGGGCCATTCCTGTTCCATTGATTCATTTGTTCCATGCACAAAATCTGGCAAACTTTTTAGCTGGGACAGCAAAGCGGGTGGGCGAAAATATACAAGGAGGCAGGGAGAGTGGTGGTATGCTGGGAACAGATTCCTTGAAATCAGCCAGTGTAACCACCTGGGCCACTTGCTTGACTGAAAGCCTGGATTACAATCCAGATGGAACACATCCAGAAGTGGGGGGCGAGAACTCCTGCCCATTATTGACAGAAAGAAATGTTTTTTTTTTTTTTTTTGTACAAGAGAGATACAGGATCTTGCACTAAGCAGATGCCCGCCAAGGGCTGCATAATTGATGCCCATGCCTTCAAGTTGAACGAGTCTCGTATATCAGGGTAGGCTCCTGTGGCTCTATCCCCAGCCCTTTTCTGGAATCCCTCAGCAGAACTGCTGAACATGAGCAATGCAGTTTCCAACATTTGGAGCTGAGACAATGCCTCTCAAACTGACATTTTAAAAAAAAAATCTCTGGGATAATCAAAAATTCCAAGCTGTACGGGATACGATGTACATGTATTTATGACAATTGCAGTGTCCCAGGGTCACATGACCACCTTTTGCCACCTTCTGACGAGCCAGATTCACTTAACAACTGCTAACTTAGCTGTTGGGATTCACTTCATAACTATGGCAAGAAAGGTCATAATATGGAATAA